TTCAATCAGTGCGTCCTACCTGTGATGACATACGGAGCCGAGACGTGGACACTGACGGCACGGCTGATCCACAGGTTCAAAGTCGCTCAACGCGCTATGGAAAGGGCTATGCTCGGCGTTTCTCTGAAAGATCGCATCAGAAATGAGGTAATCCGACAGAGAACCAGAGTTATCGACATAGCCCACCGGATTAGCAAGTTGAAGTGGCAGTGGGCTGGCCATATTTGCCGAAGAACCGATAACCGTTGGGGTAGACGAGTTCTGGAGTGGAGACCGCGTCTAGGCAAATGTAGTGTAGGACGTCCTCAGGCACGATGGAGTGACGATTTGCGCAAGGTGGCTGGCAGGAGCTGGATGCGAGTAGCCCAAGATCGATCTGAGTGGCGTGCATTTGGAGAGGCCTATGTCCAGCAGTGGACTATGATAGGCTGTTGATGATGATGATGATGATGAGATTAATAAATACTTTTGATAGGCCTTCACAATGCAGTCGTTAGCACCCACTAAATAGAGATTCTATTTCTATTTTGTTGGTAGATTTTCTTAATGTGCGGTAAACACAAAAGTAACAGCATGAAGTTGGTCGCTAAAGCGACCAACTTCATGCTGTTAAAATTTTGTGTTACAGTGATGCGCGCGCATCTTAAAATTTCACTCTCATCATTTTTTCATAACGCGCCTAAAGAAGTATAACTTCAAAAAGTCTGGAAAAGGACACAGTCAATAAAGTTCAGTTTTAATTTGAAAAAATAAATAAATAGTTATAATTTTTATCTAAAGAAAATATAACTAGAAAAAATTCCACGCGGACCAGGCAGCAGACGGGACTCGAACCCGCACCCTTAAATAAATAAATAAATAATCAAAATATTCAATTAAAATCACTACTGAATATAATTTATTAGAACATATGTGATTTGCACTTGTATGAAACTCAAACACGTATTCCGAATATACAAACTAGAAACATGTGGATAAATATTATAAATATGAATACCTATAATTTTGGTTCTACTACACCAATGGTCAAGAGATGGCGCTGTAGTCTCCTGAATCGCGCTTTGGTTCCGTTGTTCCAGATTAATAAATACTTTTGATAGGCCTACACAATGCAGTCGTTAGCACCCACTAAATAGAGATTCTATTTCTATTTTGTTGGTAGATTTTCTTAATGTGCGGTAAACACAAAATAAAGCGACCAACTTCATGCTGTTAAATTTTGTGTTACAGTGATGCGCGCGCATCTTAAAATTTCACTCTCATCATTTTTTCATAACGCGCCTAAAGAAGTATAACTTCAAAAACAATACCCTACGCGTCGAGCAGAGTAGTGATGGTGCGTACAAGTTGTGACTTGTTCGATCGTGAATTAGCGAATACTTGTATGTGATAGACGATGTGATAGACGATGACGATGGGGGGTGCCGCATTAGCCAGAGGCCGGATTACCGGGGCTCCACTGTATATAAAATTCTCGTGTCGCGGTGTTTGTGGTTAAACTCCTACGAAACGGCTTTCCCGATTCCCATGAAATTTTGTGTGCATATTGGGTGGGTCTGAGATTTGAACAACATCTATTTTTCATCCCCCTAAATGTTAAGGGTAATCCACCCCTATTTTTTTTTTTCAATTTTAGATAATTTTTTTTAATTTTTTTATGATACTTCGTACAAAAATACATGCAGCCCTAAATTTCCACCCTCCTACCACCAACCCCTATTTTTTATGGCGGTACGAAGTTCGCTGGGACAGCTAGTAATCATATAACAACATATGAGGAGCGTCTGTTCAAAAGGGGCTATTTCCGTATTTACTGACTTATAGTTTTTTTCTTGAATTCTACTGGTATTCTAAGATCCTATCACAGCCTGTGTTTAGTCTTGATCGAAATTGACTGTTTCCCCTTCAAATTTGAACTTAAATTCGCTATTGTATTCAAACGGTACTATTTTTAGCTCATTTAATAAAAGTTTTTGAAGTTATACTTCTTTAGGCGCGTTATGAAAAAATGATGAGAGTGAAATTTTAAGATGCGCGCGCATCACTGTAACACAACAAATTTACTTTTGAGTTTACCGCACATTAAGAAAATCTACCAACAAAATAGAAATAGAATCTCTATTTTGTGGGTGCTAACGACTGCATTGTGAAGGCCTATCAAAAGTATTTATTAATCTGGAACAACGGAACCAAAGCGCGATTCAGGAGACTACAGCGCCATCTCTTGACCATTGGTGTAGTAGAACCAAAAACCACATCTTTATTTTTTGTTATAAAGTAACAGTTATAGGTATTCATATTTATAATATTTATCCACATGTTTCTAGTTTGTATGTTCGGAATACGTGTTTGAGTTTCATACAAGTGCAAATCACATATGTTCTAATAAATTATATTCAGTAGCGATTTTAATTGAATATTTTGATTATTTATTTATTTTTTCAAATTAAAACTGAACTTTATTGACTGTGTCCTTTTCCAGACTTTTTATTAATTTATTGTAATTAATTATTTGCATGCAATTAAAAACTAATTTTAAACGATGCCAAAGAAGGATAACTTCTCACGCGCCTACATAAGTACACGCACCCATTTTTTTTTATCTCTAAAACATTTAACTGCTAGATATTTAAATCTAAATACATTTTTACAAAAAAAAAATCACGCGGACCAGGCAGCGGACGGGAGTCAAACCCCCACCCTCCGCTATACGGGCAAATGCACCGACAATTAATGCAGCCTAAAAAATACTAGAGAAAATTCGATACGGACAATTTGAGCCGTAATAGGATAATGATCAGTGCATTCGTCCGGATAACGGAGGGTGCTGGTTCGAGTCCCGTCTGCGCGTAGATATATTTCTAATAAAATTTCCTTTACATTTAAAGTTACTTTAAAGTTTTTATGTAGTTTGAATCCAATTCCATCAAGGTAAACATTATCATATTGTCGGTCCAGCAGAAAACTCGTAAAAGTTAGATCTAATTTGTGAGATCTGTTCTAATTTATCTGTTATATTTTACAATTATGGTCGAAAAAAAGGTTTCTAAAATGCATACAAAACAAGAAAAATGCGTTTCAAAAAATTTTTGAGGGTTTTTTTGAGTTTTTCAAAAAACGCCTACGAGTTGAACATGCCCATCGCCAAGGTGGCTTACTGACGTCATTTGGCAACAGAAAAAACAAGACTTACCCTTTAGGTTTTTTTTTCACTGAAACGATTTTTTTTCGACAGATTGACTGTACTATTATAATAATAAGTTTTCAACTCATGGTAGGTTTTTATTTCTCCCATTAATAAGCCATTTGAAATTTATTTTGGCAAGTTATTAATTTTATCGAACCCTGGCTGATTAGTTCTAGTCTAGGCACTTATTACTCCATCAAATAACCCTACGCACCTTGGAATAATTCTATACACAAAATACACTTTATAATAATCTTTCAAATGTGCTCATAAACAACATAATATCTCTGTGTGTTCTCCGGGTGGGTGATATTTCTAACACTCGCACTTACATCCATATTCTTAGTCGTTACCTCGAGATTTTCTCCACTCGACTCAACCTCATTGGAGGAAATTCGTATGCTTAGACAACAAAAATATCTAAAGAAAAGTTTACTAGAAAAAAATCCACGCGGACCAGGCAGCGGACGGGACTCGAACCCGCATCCTTCGCTATCCGGGCGAATGCACTGACCATTATGCTACCACGGCCCTATTAGCCGCGTTGAAATTTTCCTAGCCTTAAGCTGCAAGGCAGCGCCTGCTGCCAGGTCCGCGTGGATTTTTTTCTAGTAAACTTTTCTTTAGATTTAAACATCTAGCAGTTAAATGCTTAAAAATAAAATAAAATCATAACTATAATTGCTATTTCTTCTTTCAAATGTTTAATACTTGAAAAGTATTCATTTGACATTGTGGGTTACCTACAATGCGACGAGATGGCGCTGCCTTGCAGCTTAAGGCTAGGAAAATTTCAACGCGGCTAATAGGGCCGTGGTAGCATAATGGTCAGTGCATTCGCCCGGATAGCGAAGGATGCGGGTTCGAGTCCCGTCCGCTGCCTGGTCCGCGTGGATTTTTTTCTAGTAAACTTTTCTTTAGATTTAAACATCTAGCAGTTAAATGCTTAAAAAATAAATAAAATCATAACAAAAATATCCTTCACTTGAGATATTCCTCACTCGAGTGGAGGTCGAGTCGAGGAATAACCTGACAAACTCAAGGTAGCTCTCGACGTACCTTAAGGCTTCCTCGAGTGGTGTTTAAGGTGTTTTCAAGTTGTTTTTATCGAGAACTATGTCTGATTTTGAGATTATTGACGAATTTGTGGATTTTATGGATTACGTATACGATTTATTAATTTATTTATTCAGTAACACATACACGATGATGAACCATATAACTATCCGGCGCGACGGTATTTACGTGATGCCGCGAATCCTTTTAAGGTTTACGACAATGATTCGTTTCAAAGAAGATTTCGGTTTAGAAAAGATACAGTCATACAAGTAACATTTCCTCTGCTAAGCATTATAGAAATAAAATCCTTCAAATGATAACGTCACAATGTTAAGGAATTCTCAGTGGAGGAATTCTCAAGTTTGTTCAAGATACCAACTAGAATGCCATTTTCGAGGTTATTTGGAGGAACTCCTTATGGAGCTCTCGAATGAGTTTGAGTCGAGGAACGTTTGAGGACGCGATTAAGAATATGGGTGTTAGTCTAGCCCCAAAGTAAGCGAAGTAAGGCTTGTGCTACGGGATACTAGGGTAGGGTAACGGATAGAATACATTTGCGATAATACATAAATAAACAATTTTGGAAACAATTTGGCACATATATTAGTTTCTTAGCTAGATTGGAAAATGAAATACAATTCAAAAAAGTTTGCATCGGTGTCTCTCTACGTTTTTCTCTAACTCCCAATCCAGCAGTATCAATTATTTGAAATAATTATACTCACTATGATTATATTTATATCATCTGTTACAGATTACCAAATGACCGACGAGATATATTTCCTGAAACCAGACGCGGAGCAACCTATACAGGTAACAAAACATGAGAAAAATTATTTTTATGACATTCAAGATCTGAAACCTTAACTTGCCAAAAAAAACAAGCTTCAATAAATTTAATTTATTTTTCGGTTTTATTTTATTTCATATAAGTTAGGGTTTTAAGAGTGGTTTTAGAAAGTTATGAGATCGCTTCTAGAATGTGGTGACACATTTCAATACTGATATAAAATGAAATGGACAGATACAATGGAAATTACAAACTCTTACCCTCTTATTAATAAACTTAACTAATTAAGAATAGGCTTGAAGTAGTTACTCTATCTTTTGTCTCTGTTCGATGAATGACAAATGGCACTCGAGTGATATGAACAAAACAACTATTCTAAGCTTATTCCACGTTTATTAATAAGGGGTTTAATGTTTTTGCAGTATTTTTTGGTTTATATTATATGTCTATTTAGTACTTATAATTGTTGTGTAATATTTATTAATAAATGTTTTAATTATCACCAGGACCAACCAAGTAACGGAGGGTGATCCTCCAAGACTTCACATCAATGCATTCAACGCCATCTGTCGCCCGAAAACTGAACTAACCATAAAACATCAATAAACACGGGCAAATCGACCCGCTCTCCATTCTCTTCACGTTGTCAAATCGAAATCAGTTAGGCATTTAATTGTGTTTATATGGACATAATCATTCACCAACCCATACTTTTATATTTACAGTGCAGGATTTTTATTTTAACGAATCTACAATAATATCCAATCAAGATTTTGTATATTTTGTAATAAATAATTGTTTTTAGCTTTACCAATCATCTTAAGTACGAAACTATTAACGTAGAGAATATTTAAATAATATGTTTTATTCCATTCGTATGTTTAAATGTGATCGTTTTGTAAATGATGTGTTTAGGTATAAAGTGTATTTCTCCCCATCCCCTAACGTTAAATGTTTTCTCCTTCCAAAAATATATACGTTGTCTAATATAAGTTACGTGTGTTAACGTTGTGTAAATAACTTGTTTTTTTATTATTATACATAAATAAAGTCACTTTCCCTTATGTATGTATAATATCTTGTATAGAAATACAGAAATAACCATTTCGATTGTAAGCATTCACGAAAATGTAATTTCGATCATTAAAAGTATTACATTTGACAATATATCTTATATATTTTTATTAATTATGATAAAAAAATATTTGAAACGCCGAGTGACTAAATTTTGACACATCGGTTCGTATTCGAATAAAAGTCAATGGGTGTATTACCTACCTTGTTTTGTATAAATCATTCATAAAACTGAAATCATTTGACTGAAAAAAAAGATTAAAAGAGTATAATATGTGTATAATTTCGTAAGAAGCGATTGCGAATACATATTAAAATTTAAATAATAAATCGATAAATATTGAAAATTCATTTATACACAGTAATTTTGTTTCTGAAGTTAACTTACTTTTTAAATAATAATCAAAATGATTTTCTCTCACTAGAACTTCCATAGTTTCTTGTGATGACGCCCCAACTTATATATTAAGTATGCTATATGGAAATAATATATAAACAATATGAGACACAAAGTGCCCTAAGACTGTAGTACCTTGAAATATGCCATATTTAGTACAGGTAAAGTATGCACAGCGTATGTACAGGGAATATAAAAGCTGTTTAATGTTTATACTTTGAGTTTCAATAAGTATAAATATTTATTTTATAATAGTATATAACATGGCTGGGTTTCAGAGGAAAGATAAAACAAAATAAAGAAACATCTACAATAGTTCTTATTTTATGAATAGTATAATTTTTATACAATCCCATAATTTGGAAATTATAAGGTGTACAATATTAAACAGCTTGGATAATTACCAAATATATAAAGAAATATGTGTACCTATATGTAAGATATTTTACGTCATTTGTAGCAGCGCAACGTTTTATATAATTATACACGTTTAATAATAAATATTATACAAAACATAATATTATATTTTATACGTTAGGCTAGGATTAGACCAAATGAAAACCCATCCATTTTGTCGGCGTATTTATATGTTATATATATTATGAGCTTCACACAATTTTTAGTACTTGTAATGTTATTGATAATTATTATGTACTCTCTAATTACCGATTTGAAAAATTGAGGCATTCATAGAATTACTATAATATAATATTTGTTTATAAAATAATCAACTTGTAAATTTTTAATAACGGTCAATTTGGTAATTCAAATTTTTGCTAGTCTTATTTGGTTTTATTGAATTTCAAACATGCTTGTATCTTGTCATTGTTTATGGTACAAATTTTATTATAGTAATTATATTTGTGCCACTTTTAAATTTCACAACCAAAGGAATTTTGATGGAATATTTCCTTTTTCTGTAGTTTTTTAATGTATGTTCATTGTGCGAATTTGGCATTTAATATAATGTTATAATAATAATAGCAAAAAAAAGTGTTATATATTTGTATAAAATTATAATTATATAAATAAGGAAATGTATTGGATCACACGGAAAGTAGTAAATTGTATAATGTTCCCTATATGTATGAAAAGTGTTTACTATATTTATATCTATGGAAAAATGGCGCGGGAATGTAGTTAAACTGTTACAATACCAGGTTTTTCAAGTCACAGGTGTAAAGACTAGTTGTCATACGTTACATGGACTCGAACGTACTTCGCGTCGTTGGTATCGCCGATTATTATTATTCCATCGCTTCCGATCGCTTTAAATAACAATGCGTACGAAAATATTGTATTAAATAGTTAGTTGGTATGGAATAAATACCGTTACAAACAAATGAACGTTGCCGTGTTTTATTGATGTGTAACATCTTTCCTCTCGCTTTCCTGCAATTTGTGGGAGTGATTTCGTGAAATGGGACGCAAGTGTGTAACAGGAAGTCGCGAAAGCGCGCGCTATTTGATTTGATTTTAGAACATAATGTTCAAATGGCTTATTCCTTTTGTAGTAGATTTTATTTCTTTTTTTGACTAATATAAGGTGAGGTTTCAAATGTTACAAATTGTACGTGACTACTGTAAGGCTCGCTTGTTTTTTTTTATCGAAGGTTTGAATTAATTGGTGTTAGAATTAAATAATAATAAAAAAGAAAAATAAATATTTCCAATACACACCAATTAACCTAGCCCTAAAGTTAGCACTGTAGGCTTGATTTATGGGATACTAGGGTAACGGATAGAATACATATACTGATACATATATAGGTATATTTATATAGAAATGCATATTTAACATCCATGACTGGAGTATAATGCTTGTATACATCACACAAACATCTGCCTCCCATTCAAACACAAAATTGCTTGATTTTTATATCATAAGTTTGCTAGAAAAAATCAACTCGATTCAGCTAGTTATAAGCTGGAATAGAATCAGTGTCGTTTGCTATCGGAGCGAAGGCACTAGAGTCTATGCGGAAAGAGAATGGGCGTGGCGAAAAACGGAACTAACATTATGATTTTTATTTGGTAATGAATCCCAGCAATCTGTAAAACATCAAAGTTTTGTATTGATACGGATTTGTTTGTTGTTGTGATTTCTTGCGGTTTTTTGTATTTAATCATGTCTAAAAGGGGTAAAACCTTACAAATACGGTAGAAAAGCACTACAGCGCCCTCCAATCTAAATCCCATTATCTTTCCGCACAGACTCTAACCGTTTTGCTACTGAGACTTTAATGGACGAGTCAAAGGACAATGTTAAAATTGGCCTAAGAACCAACACCAATTTGGCATTTATGATAATTCTTAGTATATTTTTTGCGATAATTATCAGTATTAAGATTGTGACGGACACTTCCAGTTAAGAAAGCTAAATTAAAAAGTTAAAAATAATCTGAGACAATAAATACCATTTTATGTGTATAATCTATGGCAGCGCTGCAAACAAAACACTCTTTCTTTCTAATGCCGGCACTTCACTTGGCTATTCGTATTTGCTATTTTAAAACATGACATCAGTCTGTCCTTTTCATTCCTTATTAAGCATGACAAGGACAAACTGTTGTCAAGTGAAGTTACTCCGTGGTTGTGGTGCATGCAGTTTGCATTTGTAGTAATCTGTGGCATTCGTGCATTCCAAAGAGTAGTATATTAAACCGGAAAGTGCATTCTCGTTTCGGATTACCTGTTGTGTGTATTTATTTGCGATTGTTTTTCCTTTAATTTAACTATTTCGGCTATCTAATATGCCATCGATGTTACCAAAGAGCAGTGCCCTTATTACCAAGTGCTAGTGAACCTGTGCCACAACCACAATATCCTGAGAGGATCATACTGCCAAATTATTGAAGAAAACCTGATACACATTCACGCTGCATATTTACATAATATACATGTGGTATACAAATAATTACAATAAACAATATGATACAATTATGTGAAAAATAGTCAATAAATAAGAAGCAAAACTACAGTTTTTATTTTATTCATGATTCCTACCTAACCAAGTTTTTCATAATAGTCATTCTTTAAAATCGCACCGAATAAAATGAATTAGTTGTAATATTAATTCACTTCATACTGAGTTCATACTGAATTCATAGGTTGACCTATGTTTCATTGAATATTAAACATAACCTCAAAAAAATGTTTGTTTTTCTAATAATTTAAGTTCTCAGAAGTGTCCGTCAATAATCTTTGTTTTTACAGTCATTTACTTACGATTTTGAACCTAGAAAATAATATTTCATGATTGTTGGTTCTTAGGCTAACTATGTATGGACGCTGAACAATGTCCTTTGTTCCAGTATAATAGGGGTGATGACGGGGTACAGTAAACGAAATTCTATTTAGTCCGTCAGTTAGATGATCAAAAAATAATGGACACGTATTTTTTCTTTGGGCAATCAACCAAAAAATGACAAAGTTATAGCGCGTCAAAGTTTGGGAGTAGGCGCTCGTGACGTCACTTTTGAGTCAATTTTCCCTTATAAATGTACTCAAACGTGACGTCTTTTCGAATCAATATATCTCTGCAATGTTTATATTTTGTGAAAAAAGAAAAAATACGTGTCCAATACTTTTTGATAATCTACCTGATAAACGAAGAAAAACAAATTAGTCATCATCCCTATTACGTTAAGTTACAATTCGAAATTTCTCGGTTTTATAGCGCTCACTACGATCGTCTAGATTACAAAGGACGCTGTTTTCAATTCCAAATTAAATTGACGTCTCTGAAGGTGGCTTTTATTTTCTCTTGTTCCCTATACTCCTACGTACATATCTCCATTGGTAGGGACCTTGATGAGGAGCTCGATGGCGCAAGTAGTTAGCGCGTTCGGCTGCGATCGTTGAAGTTAAGCAACTTTTGCAGTGGTCGGCCATTGGATGGGTGACCAAAAATTACAATCTCGAGCTCCTCCATGCTTCGGATGGCACGTTACGCCGTTGGTCCCGGCTGCATCTGCAGTCGTTAGCACCCACCAATCCGCACTGGGCCCGCGTGGTGGGTCATGGCCCAATCTCCCTTTTCCATCCATAGGGAAGGCTTGTGGCCCAGCAGTGGGGGCATTAATAGGCTGATGATGATGAGGGATACCTTGGAGTTTTTTTTCCAGTTATCGCTACCGGATGGCATATTTTCAACTCGTATGAAAAATCTTCTTAATAATGGCGCGATTAGACTTGGTCGTTAGGCCGAATACGAGTGCCAATGGAATTCTGGCAAAAAAACGACGAAGTGTAAATGAACGGAGTCGAGTACGCTCGTAGGTATTCCTTTTGTTTGCCGGATACCATGTTTCAGCCTGTATTCCATGTAAATATTACTTCGGGTGCCCGAATTCGAGTTATGTCTGTCGTGCACCCATTTTATTAGAAAACAACTGTCAAGGAAGCACAATTATGTATTGCAGGCTATGGCAACCCCTTATGATAAGATGGCAGATACCTTTTATGATGATGATATATTCTATGATGGCAGTTATTTTTTTTTTTTTTTTTTGTGACGAGGGGAAATGCAGTTACGCACCATACCGTGACGCTGACTAGGCGCACGGCGTGTGTGGGACTCGCCGGCACGGGAAACAGTGCCGACCCTACTCAAGCAGGACCAGCGCGGAAGGCCACACTGATCCTACTCCACTAAAACCCCCCGGTACCCTCCTACGCCCATATGGGGGCGTCTCAGGATCGACGCACCTTAGCGTGCGCCACTTCACTGGGACGTCCCCGGAAGATGGCAGATACCTACAATACATGTCTGAAAAGGTATGAGCGACTGGAGTTTTCAACAAATTCGATTATAGCGGCTGCAGATACCCTTGTATGTGGCGATGGTTTTTACTAGATTTAGCCATAAGATGGACGTGTCAACATTTCAACAGAAAGCAAATATGGCTGACTTCCTCTTGCCTCTTACTTTCCTGTCAAAAAGGATTCACGTTTAGTTGTAAAGGTTCTCAAAAATAAAAACTAGTATCGACATCTACATAAAACTTTATTAATTAATTACAAAATCACACAATGAGCGCAAAACCGACACCTATCAGTAGGAAGACTGAGCTGATGGCTCGCGAGGCCCCGGCGAAGGGAACGCCGGTGATGAAGTACTGAATGTCGTTCATTACGTTGAGCTTCAGCATTCTGTTCTCTTCGTCAGGACTGGAGACGAATGAGCTGGAAAATTATGAGTTTCAGATTTTAATTGGGTGCCCAAATGAAAGACAATTCAAGCTTTTGAGATGGTTACTGCTCAGAAGCCAATAAAAAGTGTTTTTAATCTCTAATTCTAGTTATATATATTTATCACCTCGTCTGTGAAAGTGGCGGATTTCTGCCACACCACAATATTATATTATAATATTTAGAATAGATAAATAGAAATGGGTGCAGAAAATATTTAAGATTGATTTAAGACATAAATGAAGACAATAGGTTAAGTAGAACTAGAAATATAACAAGAGGGTTGTGACCAGTACTGCCAGGTCCGATTTTAAAAATCGGAAGGCATTATAGAAAAAATCTGTAAATGCCGAGGCGTTTCCAAGTTCCACACCCCCCTAGAATTGGTAAATCAAATCAAGATATGGGCCAGTAACGAATGTGTTTCTGTGGCTTCTGTCGCCCCTCAAGGCTCGTTTGTTTTTTTTTGACAATATAACATTTATTTTATAATAATTAAGGTTACCTACCATCTTAATGGAGGAAAATCGCATTCTAAGAAAAACAGAAGAACAGGAGAAATTTCAGAAAAACATAGGAATTGTAAAATCGGGAGACCTGGCAATACAGGCTGTGACGGCCATTTTAGCCGTAGGTATTCCTTTTGTTTGCCGGATACCATGTTTCAGCCTGTATTCCATGTAAATATTACTTCGGGTGCCCGAATTCGAGTTATGTCTGTCGTGCACCCATTTTATTAGAAAACAACTGTCAAGGAAGCACAATTATGTATTGCAGGCTATGGCAACCCCTTATGATAAGATGGCAGATACCTTTTATGATGATGATATATTCTATGATGGCAGATATTTTTTTTTTTTTTTTTTGTGACGAGGGGAAATGCAGTTACGCACCATACCGTGACGCTGACTAGGCGCACGGCGTGTGTGGGACTCGCCGGCACGGGAAACAGTGCCGACCCTACTCAAGCAGGACCAGCGCGGAAGGCCACACTGATCCTACTCCACTAAAACCCCCCGGTACCCTCCTACGCCCATATGGGGGCGTCTCAGGATCGACGCACCTTAGCGTGCGCCACTTCACTGGGACGTCCCCGGAAGATGGCAGATATCTACAATACATGTCTGAAAAGGTATGAGCGACTGGAGTTTTCAACAAATTTGATTATAGCGGCTGCAGATACCCTTGTATGTGGCGATGGTTTTTACTAGATTTAGCCATAAGATGGACGTGTCAACATTTCAACAGAAAGCAAATATGGCTGACTTCCTCTTGCCTCTTACTTTCCTGTCAAAAAGGATTCACGTTTAGTTGTAAAGGTTCTCAAAAATAAAAACTAGTATCGACATCTACATAAAACTTTATTAATTAATTACAAAATCACACAATGAGCGCAAAAGCGACACCTATCAGTAAGAAGATTGAGCTGATGGCTCGCAAGGCCCGGCGAAGGGAACGCCGGTGATGAAGTACTGGATGTCGTTCATTACGTTGAGCTTCAGCATTCTGTTCTCTTCGTCAGGACTGTAGACGAATGAGCTGGAAAATTATGGGTTTCAGATTGTAATCGGGTGCCCAAATGAAAGACAATTCAAGTTTTTGAGATGGTTACTGCTCAGAAGCCAATAAAAAGTGTTTTTCATCTCTAATTCTAGTTATATATATTTATCACCTCGTCTGTGAAAGTGGCGGATTTCTGCCACACCACAATATTATATTATAATATTTAGAATAGATAAATAGAAATGGGTGCAGAAAATATTTAAGATTGATTTAAGACATAAATGAAGACAATAGGTTAAGTAGAACTAGAAATATAACAAGAGGGTTGTGACCAGTACTGCCAGGTCCGATTTTAAAAATCGGAAGGCGTTATAGAAAAAATCTGTAAATGCCGAGGCGTTTCCAAGTTCCACACCCCCCTAGAATTGGTAAATCAAATCAAGATATGGGCCAGTAACGAATGTGTTTCTGTGGCTTCTGTCGCCCCTCGTTTGTTCCCCAAACTCGTTTTTTTTGACAATATAACATTTATTTTATAATAATTAAGGTTACCTACCATCTTAATGGCGGAAAATCGTATTCTAAGAAAAACAGTACATTCATGTAGAAGATCAGGATAAATTTCAGAAAAACAGGAGATCTGTAAAATCGTGAGACCTGGCAATACAGGTTGTGACGGCCATTTTGCTTACACAGACGAGGGGACATGATACATTGTCGGCAACGCCATCTAGTTTCCAAGAAACACATTATGCGAAGTTTGCAAGCCATCTAGATTCACCTGTAGTGACTAGATGGCGCTGTCATAAGACAGGTTACGTTAGTTTATGTAGCAGCAAACGTCATGAGCAAAACCATAGACAAAAAGCCTTTGTATGTAAAATTTGCTACTGCTAGGGCTCCGTTGTTTATGGTTTTTGCACAAGAAGCTTTGCGGAGTGCATACCTAAAGTGCCACTTACAGCTACTTATTTTAATTATCAATCAACCTCCAGTAAATGGGCCAATTGCCTAACGGGATTGCTATCGCTCTCGCTGACGATTTCATTTTGTTATTTCTGACTGCTGAAGGTTTTCAAATTTCTAAGCGATAGCCATAACCATAGCATTCCCATTAGGTGATTGGCCCCCAGGTCATAATCTGGTTCCGTTTCTTACCATCAGTTTTTATTATTATCTTAATGAAAAAATATCGACACAAAGCTCTAATACTTAGTCTTTCTTATGAATTTCTCAATAAATAAATTAAGTACGTTAGTTTTAAAAATTATCTCTTACAGCAGTTTGATTTATTAATACTAGGCGTAATACTTTATGGTGGTTGTGAAGTCAGCAGCGAGCGTGACTATGCGCAGACTTCAGTTCTAATCTCAATCGAGTTTTCTAAGCCAAGACTTGCACTAACTTCACAGCAGTCATTAAGTTTGAATCACACCATATTTTTAATAAATTTTAATTAATATATCTTGTTGTTTCTGTACTCCTAGCACAAACAATTAGGGAGGAAGTATTCGTATGGTCATCTTCTAAGTTTCTAAAGAAGGAGCCAGTTTGTTTTTACGTCTGGTAGAGGGCGCTACTTATTTTTCATAGAAACTTGGACAATGCTATAAGATTACGGTACCCTTAGCACGAACTAATATCGAATTCGTAACGTTTGCGAGTACGAAATGTCATTGTCAAGTGAATATTTAGTTCTCGTTACGTCCGTTATGGCGCTGCTGTTCAAGACATTTAAAACTCGCAAACTATTCGAATTCGATAACAGATCGTGCTAGGGGTACGGATTTGTCAAAGTTCGTACTTGCAATGACAGTTCATTGATTCGAGTAAGTGTCGCCGCACACGCGTGCCACCGACCACAACCACAAAACGCCGCCACCGGCATATTTCTTGTAGTTTTCATACATTTTATATGGACTCGCCACACACGGTACGCCGGTGGCCGCCACATGCTACAAATCGTCGTTGCTCGCTTCTTGTGGCCCGCACCGGCCACTTAATGCGCCGATACAAAACGCCGCCACACGTCACTCGCGCGATTCCCCACCCCTCTCTCCCTTACCTAAGTCGGCCGCTGTCGCGCGCTTCAACCACTTTAGTAGCCGCTTCTAGCTTCTCGTGGCTGCGTTTGTGGCTGTGGCGTGTGACCCGTGTGCGGCGACACTAAGTGTTCAGGGCTCCACGGGGAAGGAGACGGGGTTAGGGTAGTCAGCATAGGCAACGCGTGACCCTCTGGTTTACTCTGGTTCGTTAAGTGAGCTACCATCAGGCAAACTATAAGCCCTTTTTTATCAAAAAAAAAATGGCAATAAAGAAGCGTTCTTCGTTATTTAGACTACAGAAGTTCTTTGTTTTGATGGAAGTTGATCTCAATATATGCTTTTAATTTTGATATTAGTGTTCAATTTGATGACACTTCTGAAATAAAACAGGGAAAACAACGCAGCCCTTGCTGAGTTCTCTCAGTACAAAGTCTCCGGCCGTAGATTTGAGAACCGATGGCGTGAAAGCAAAGCAAGATGGTGGAAGCACATGTGAAAGTTGAAAGCTACGCTAATCCCCTAACTTAATAAATGAATAGTGAATTTAATAAGCATTTGTGCCAAGTGTTAAGTCTATTAACCCTAAGAATACAATTTTTCATACAAATTTTCGTCCACTGTTTGACCCTTAGGGGTAAAATTTAAAATATCTAGATACTTGTTATTCTTTATTTCTAATTTCAAGTATGAATACTAAGTTTCAAGTTAATCGAGTGCGCGTTAGAATTAATTCATATAAAAACTTAACAATATTACCTAAAATACTATATTATTTAAACTCACAAAATAGATTAAAACTACTAAATAAACTAAATACTTATAACAAACTAAAAATAAAAATAAAACTATATTATGTAAAAAATCGACCCCAAATCGCTGCGCTCGCAGGGTTGGGTGCCCAAGAGGCTGGCGGCATTTCCCCGTCGAATGGCCAGGCTCAACCTTTGTCCGAAATGCGCGACGCCTCAGGGGATCCAAGCCCTGAGGCGTCGATGAGGCGTGTGGAAATCTCAAATTTAATTATTAGTTGGTTGCCAACATTTAAAAACAAAAATAAGTGCAGTTACCTAAGAGCTGAGCATCTCGGCGCTTCTGGTCTGTATACGGGAGTCTTCAAGCCTCCTTCGATCGGTGTCGCGGGCGACATCGGGTCGAGTCGCCCCAACACTGAGACCACGTAGTCGGGCACTGATTTACCTCCGAAGAATAAGTTGGTTCTACTGATGCCCGATTGGAGGAAGGCCTGGTTGAAACTGGTAAAAGAATGTGGTGTGAATAAATCCATACTTAATATTATAAATGCGAAAGTGTCTTTCTGTCTGTCTGTTAGCCCTTGAGCTGGTTCTATTTCGATGAAATTTGGAACTGGAAAATTGACAAAGGATAGTTTTATTACACAGGATTATCCTGAAAAGGAATGAAATGAAAGGACGTTTGTTAGTAGAAGTTAAGGAACTGTTACATAGGCTACTCATCACCGTTCCTATGGAATATATAGGAGATTGGGCCATGACCCATTACGCATGCCCAGTGCAGATTGGCTGGTGCGGTAGGTGAGTGGTAACGACTGCAAATGCTGCCGGGTTCAAAAGCTAAACGAGCTTTCTGAAGCACGATAGATAGATCTTGATGCGTGGCTATCCACAACCATGGGTTTTTGTCGAAATTTTTTACTACGTACGACAAAATTGTGGAATATATTGTCGCCAGCAGTAAAAAAAGAGCATACTCCTTCCTTAAAGGCCGGCATCGCATTTGTGATACTCCTGGTGTTGCAAGTGTCCATGGGTGACGGTGATCACTTACCATCAGGTGAGCCGTCTGCTCGTATGCCCCCTATAACATAAAAAAAAATGGAGCTCGTGATAGTAAATATTTAATCGGTCATTGCGAAAATTGGTTCATCATTATCATTAGACTTTTAATGTCCTCAGTGCTGGGGCACAAGCTTACCCTATGGCTGAAATAGGGAGAAAGGGCCACATAAACAAATACACGACGATGTAATTACTTCAAAGCAACAAAGATTAGTGAATAACAAAAGAATATAAGTGAGTATGTAAGCGGAAATAAAATGAAATATGATCAAAATAATTTTCTTAAATGGATGAGTAATTTTTGTTTATAGTTAAGTACTAAACTTTAAGTTTGCACTAAACTTGAACTGGGCCGAGTGCTTTATGATACATAAATACCTATTAAAAAATTAAACAGAAAAAGGTTAATTCAGGCGAAGTTTTGTTGTAAACTTATTACGTTAGTTGTAATGTAGTCACATTTTGCGGTAGATAACGTCGACGAATGTTCAAGTTTTGTTTGTGATTCGACAATAAATATTTAAATACCTCTAAAATTGCAACTTTATGCATAATATTACTTTGGTTTCATAAGAAAATTGAAATTATCTAATTAATTAAGTTTTGAGTACATTGTGGTTGGCGCTTCATAGGAAATGTTTATCTATTTTAGTACTTCTCATTCATAATTCATAATATAAATTGTTTTTTTATTAATCGGTGACAAAGGTGCTTTGTTGAGAGGTGTTAGAGCAATAAATATTTGTGGACTGTTATAATACTAATACTATTCTATTATTCATCGTCATCATCATCATCATCAGCCTATTAATGTCCCCACTGCTGGGGCACAGGCCTTCCCTATGGATGGAAAAGGGAGATTGGGCCATGACCCACCACGCGGGCCCAGTGCGGATTGGCGGGTGCTAACGACTGCAGATGCAGCCGGGACCAACGGCTTAACGTGCCTTCCGAAGCACGGAGGAACTCGAGATAGAAGATATTTGGCCACCCATCCAATGACCGACCACTGCGAAAGTTGCTTAACTTCAACGATCGCAGCCGAACGCGCTAACCACCTGCGCCATCGAGCTCCTCAATTCTATTATTGGTCTCCAGTTTATGATAACTGCGAGAGTTAGTGGTTGGTAACAAATCAGTTTTAGAGAACGCCTATGTCCATCATTGGACGTCGAACGGCTGATTATGATGATGATGAACTCTTACTGTTTCGAAAAGACGTCGGTGCCCAGCTGTTGATGATACTCCCTCGGACGGGCGTTTGCAGGGAGAGATTGGGCTGCGTGCTAAACTAAAAATGTATTGATTCTTTTTTGGAAGTCCCCCAGCAGTGGCGAACCTTTGGTCCTACAAAGATTCGGGTCGTCTTTATGTCTAGTCTTTTTGTTCGGAGAAGATATTGGTGCACAGCTGTCAATGTTATTCTTTTAAGAGATAGGGCGGCACGTTTATTTAAGAAATACGCACTTATATACCGGAAACCCCATCAAAATCGGATCATTTGTTTATGAGATAATCGAGGACAAACTTGTATACAAAAATACAGGTCAGACAGAGAACATCCCTTTTTAGAAGTCTGTTAAAAATGTGGTTATTCTCTCACACTATAAATCTTATAGAGGAGAGGAGAGGAGCCATCGAGATGGCACAAGTGGTTAGCGCGTTCGGCTGCGATCGTTGACGTTAAGCGACTTTCGCAGTGGTCGGTCATTGGATGGGTAGACCAAAAATTTACTATCTCTCCCTCCTCCGTGCTTCGGAAGGCGCGTCAAGCCGTTGGTCCCGGCTGCATCTGCAGTCGTTAGCACCCACCAAGCCGCACTGGGCGCGCGTGGTGGGTCATGGCCCAATCTCCCTCTTTCATCCATAGGGAAGGCCTGTGCCCCAGCAGTGGGGACATTAATAAGCTGATGATGATGATGATAAACCCTATAATGCTTCGGGACATGGTTATGTCTAATCTTACTGTTCGGAGAAGACGTCAGTGCACAGCTGTTGATGGTACTCCGTGGGTCGGGCGGCGGCGGGCAGCGGCGCGGCGGCGGTGCTGCGCGCCCACCCCGTCTGACCGCACGACACGAACAACCCCAGCCGCTCTGAGGAACACACTACGTATAAATAGCGGCACGAAACTCTAACACTGACACCCCACGACAACGGCTAACTAGAGCCGAGAATCGAGTCTCAGAGACGCCCTCTAGTTGAGGCGACCCCCTCAGGTTCGCGTGGCCTAGAGGCTCCAGATGGAGAGGAGACTCCCTGACACCCCACGACAACGGCTAACTAGAGCCGAGAATCGAGTCTCAGAGACGCCCTCTAGTTGAGGCGACCCCTTCAGGTTCCAGTGGCCTAGAGGCTCCAGACGGAGAGGAGACTCCCTGACACCCCACGACAACGGGTTACTAGAGCTGAGGTTCGAGTCTCAGAGACGCCCTCTAGTTGAGCCGACCCCTTCAGGTTCCCCTGGTCTAGAGACTCCAGACGGAGAGGAGACTCCCCCCGTGGGGAGATGCCATCCGCCTGGAGTAGGTACCTCTAGAGGCACTCGCCAAATCCCGGCTTGAGATCCCCTTAGGATCTCGCCGTCCCCAAACCCGGTGACGCTGGTCATCTGCGACCAACAGCATATACACTCAAAAAAACGCTGACCGTTATTGCGTAGAAGTAAAAATTTAGATGTGTTGGGGGAAACGAGGTGCGCGGCTTGGCTCTCCAGTCGTACCCATGCGCAGCTATTCCTGACGCGTTCTGTTCCCCGCTAGAGTTACGCGACCTGTATTATTGTCATTATCATGAGCCTATGTCCCCACTGCTGGGGCACAAAACGCAAACATTTATTGTATGCACGGGAAAGATGTCGCAATCCAAGATTTCCTGTCGCTCATCAAAAATTCTTTACTATACCCCAAATACCCTAAATTTATTATACAGATTATGCAGTCTAAAAGAACCATTGTGACTTGACACCCAGTTAAAGTATTAGCTAAGAAGCTTAGAATGTTTTAAGCTTTTAGAGATTTGAATTTCTTCTGGATGAATTATATGGCGTCCCAGATTAATACTAACTTAGTATTAATACTAAGTTTGTGGATAGAAGATGGTTTGGCGTTTCTCTCTCCTGATTGCAGTATCTGTAAATATCAGAGTCACCTAATTCCATATGAAGTTGGTGTCTGTTGAGTTTGCGGTGTCCAGTTAAAGCTCTTACGGATACCGTAAGGAAATTTGCGCTTATTTAAATTATTCAACCATTAGAAGACCATGATAATTCGGACCGAGATAGGATTTACATGGTATTATGTACAAAGTCTGTGAGGGCTATTAAGGGATTAGCATATTTCATATTCCACGCTAGCAGGAATGGGAGCTTCGTTTTAATTTGAATTAAATTTGAGACTTGCTTAAGTTATTCGTATAGCCGTTCCGTTGCCGCGACGACGTCGGTCCTCCGCCATCGGGTTTTTATGAATATCATTAATGTTAATCGCGGTTTTGAAAATATTAACAAATGTACGACTACATTTGGTACCCGTGTAATAATAATGAGAATATTTCTTTTTTTTAATACTAATCCTTTTTTATGTCTGCTGACACATGATACGGTACAATGGTCGCGAGTTACAAAGTCAGTCCCCATAGCATCATAGCATGAGCCCCACAATCAGACCTGTCTTTCCCAGTGAGCACAGGTGGGCACCTCAGATCACAAATACAAAGTCCCTAGTTCTTGTTAGATCACCAAACGGGGGTCATAGGGGCCCTATCCTAATAGGTCAAAGACGGCACTGCCCACAATTTACATTATATCACGTTTTTTATCGCGTCTAACTGTCAAACTCCATAGTTATTGGACAATTGAGCATGGTAAAAACGCGTTATATATCATATCGCGATGCTCATGTTTTATTTATGCAGATTGTTGGGTGCTAACGCAGGACCAGTGCATTTTGGTGGTGCGGGCCCAGTGCGGATTGTTGGGTGTTGAGGAGGGTGCTCAACTCACTGTGTAATTGCGGTGATTCCAGCGAGGTGTTTGTGAGCGCTGCGACGGTCTCCGTGTACCGCGTCTCCAGGCAGGTGGGCGGGCGGCGCTGCTCGAGCCATGTGGCCAGGCGTTGCATGGCCGTCGCTGTATACAAATGATAATAAATTGTAGCTATTAACGGGATTTTAACGGTATAGATGCACTGATTTATTTATTTATGACGCTTCGCGTCCCTTTCAGGCTGCGTCGTCAGAATTATGACACAGCCTGAAAAGGATGCGAAGCGTCATAAATAAATAAATCAGTGCATCTATACCGTTTTTTTTATCTTGACACAAGAATGCACTAGCTGTACAACTAGGTGAATGTGGATATCTACAGCACACAAGATTAAAAAGACGCGGGCCCAGTGAGGATTGGCGGGTGCTAATGACTGCAGATGCAGCCGGGACCAACGGCTTAACGTGCCTTCCGAAGCACGGAGGAACTCGAGATAGAAGATTTTTGGTCACCCATCCAATGACCGACCACTGCGAAAGTTGCTTAACTTCAATGATTGCAGCCGAACGCGCTAACCACCCGCGCCATCGAGCTCCTCCAGAGACCATACACATAGCAGTAAGCCTGCACAAACTTTCAGTTGAAACCATGACCCCGGCAGCGGTGCTTGATATCAACACAGTTGCGTTTTTAGGTTATATTGCTTGTTTTATTTGAAAAAATAAAATTTAAATGACGACACCGTGAACGGTTTCTTCGTTTAAAAGCATGGTTACTGCAAAGAAAACAGTACTATCATGTTAATTTACTGAATCCAACAGATTACCGCAACTATCTACGAATGCATGAAAATACCTATCTTTAACTGTTAACAGCAGTGACACTCTTAATTGAGAAGCAGGATACAATAATGACAAAAGCTATATCGCCTCATCTAAGATTGACAGTGACGTAAGATACCTTGCAATAGGGAGAACATTTTACGCGCCAAAAACAATATATACAGATTTCTATAAACTACTCCAGGACCTAGTTCCGTTTACGAGACAACATTTTGTATACAGTAGAGCGCCGCACAGTGTTTTATGGAACCAAAAAAATTTACACCTTAAGATTTTTGCATAAATCAATTATTTATACCCTAATAAAGGCAAGAGTTCAATTCTCAGATCACTATTTCCATTAAAAAAAAAGATATGAAGTAGCAAAGTTTTTGAAATTTGAGCATTAAAAAATTAACAATTTAATTTCCTCAAAAGACGGTTCCATATCTGTACATGAGATATTTGCCACTTGATAAGGAATTATTGAAGGCATAATTTTGCAATTTTATTTTATTTATAAGTGTCCTAGTTTCCGAGAAATATTTTTTTTTTAAATTTCGATTTTTAATTTTTTTCTCCAAATATCGGCAAAAGTGGAACCTGGATTTAGTACAGAAAGGTTCTATAAGCCAAGTTCTATCACCCATAAAAAAATCAGGTTTCACTTTTGCGGTTTTAAGAAGTTATGACAGAATTTAGATAAAGGTCAACTTTCATGATCTAGGATTGTCACAAAGGTCAACTATGAGTTAAATGAAAATGATAAATTTTTTGTTTGTTAATTAATACCGTCAATCAATTGAATAAATTAACAACACTTGTGGACGAATACAATATACTTACATATACTAGGTACCTACCTAATGTAGATGTGATAATGTAGGAATACTTTATGTTTGTTCGACCACATTTTAACTTTGTACCTTACACGCTAAACGGTAACGAAAAAATGAACTATGTTGCTTGAAAAAATTTTCAAAATTCATTCAGAATCATTCAGGCATTCGATCAGAAAATAAAAACAAATCTTGGGCATAAATCAGTTAGTAGGTGTAACTATTATTGTTACAAAAAAAAATGGTTGCCTGTAAAGTCGGTTTTACGGGCGAAGATTTTACGTGACAACGTCTTTTTCTCGGTAGAATATTTATTGATATGAATATAATTAAATTGCACAATAGGAACAAGGAATTGAATGAAAATAAGAATTGCACAAATTTTAACTATAGAAATATATATAATACGTCAAAAAAACATATTACAATGCATTGTGCTTGTGAATACCATCGTAGCATGCAACCACGCTACGACGATTCGTAGCAAACTTGCTACACGGCTACGGGGTTCCAGCATGCTACGAGACTCATCGTAACGTTACCGAGCGTTACACTTTTTCATAAGTGACTCCCAGCCGCAACCTAATTTAAGACGTTGTCACGTCAAAAAAAACGTAGAAGTAAGCAGGCATGAACTTGTGTCTAATTGGGTCTCCAAAACACACACACAAAACAAACAATTAATAGTTAATACTCAGACCCGAAAACGAAAATCGATATTCATTATAATGACTTCCGCCTTGACTGGGAATCACCATAAGCGTTCCTTTTTTGCAAATAGAGCTTGGAGCCCATTAAAATATGTTAAAGGTACTGTAGTAAGTTCCTAAAATCTACATTATTGTAAACTCGTTCAAAACTAATACACAAATTTATATTTTAAAAATTATCGTTCGAGGTCAGGTTCGGTGTCAACCCTAGCATAAAAATTTAAAAATGAATATCTTTTAATCGCCGCAAAAGTGACACGTGGCTTATTTATGTATGATAGACCACATCCCTAGGTTTATTTCTATCGAAGTTCTAGGTTCCACTTTTTCGTTTTTAGGGAGAAAAAACAATAAATACGAAATACAAAAAAAAAATTCTGCTCCCAAACCAATGCATTTTTTTAAGCTAAAAAAACGCGTTTATACGCCTCTGATTATGCCCGATTGACACATATTTATTAAAAAAATATATTGTTAATATTCACTTTATAAAAAAATATTCTAGATTTCATAGGTCAAAGGTCACGATAAGTTCATGATTTTTTTTCTCAAAAAGTATTTGAGTTAGACTTCTGGGAATTGAACTCATGCCTTTTTTAGGGTATAAATAATCTATTTATGTAAAAACCTGAACATGTAAATTTTTTTGGTTCCATAAAACACTGTGCGCCGCGCGTCCATCCCCTCTAACAATCACAGGACAACTGACGCCTGCGCAGCAGAGCTGCCAGATCAAAAATCCGATTGAGCGCTAAAATGATATAAAAAGCGCTAGATTTCAAGAAAAACGCGATTTTAAAAAGCGCTAGATTACGCGCTAAATTAATTTCAGTTTTTTTTATCAAATAAAAAACAGACAAGAATCAACCAAAACGTCAAAATTTCGTCAATTCAAAATTTCTCGTCCATAGCTTAAATAGGGCCAGCTTCATTCTGGCCGTTCATGTATTCTTTGTCTTACATTATTTTTCAAATGTCCCAATCCTAATCTGTCGGCGCTTCCCGAGGCCATAAATGAATATATTATCGGTAATAGAGAGTTACAATGATATAAATGAAAAAGCGCCAGATTATCCGCTAGGCGCTAAAATTTAGAAATAGGCGCTAACCACACCGAAAAAGCGCTAGATCTAGCGCCCAAAGCGCTAAAATGGCAGCACTGCTGCGCAGGCGACCGCCACACATGCTCAGTTTTACTTGCACAGTTAAACTGCACAGGTAGAAAATATCAAAATTCATATTTTTTCGAGTTGCCTGTACAGGTGTGGAAACCTGCGCAGTTATGTGACATACACGCTCCGGTTTACCTGTACAGTTTAACTGTACTGTCAGGTAAACCCTAGCGTGTATGGCTTGCTTTAGATAGATTCTCCCACAGGTGAAAGTCTGCTAACAATTTGGAAAGGCTGCGATTAAACAAAATACAGATTAATTATTAGACAAAATCAGGGCTTATTGTTGCTAAAAACAGATAGCTATGATGCATGGCGATGATGTAATAAGAAGGGGAAAAAGGGTATTTATATCGTTGAAACTTAAGAAAATATAACTAGAAAAATTTCCACGCGGTCCAGGCAGCAGACGGGACTCGAACCCGCAGCCTTCGCAATCCGAGCGAATGCACTGACCAATTATGCTACCGCCGCCCTGATGGCCGCGTCGAAATTCTTCTAGCCATTCTTAAGCTGCAAGGCAGCGCCATTTCTTCGCATTGTAGGTAACCCACAATTAAACAAGCAAACAAACATCAAGCAGTTACATGCTTAAAAAATAAAAATTAAAACAGTAATTGCTATTTCTTCTTTCAAATGTTTAATACTTGAAAAAGTATTCATTTGACATTGTGGGTTACCTACAATGCCAAGAGATGGCGCTGCCTTGCAGCTTAAGGCTAGGAAAATTTCGACGCGGCCATCAGGGCCGTGGCAGCATAATTGGTCAGTGCATTCGCCCGGATTGCGAAGGGTGCGGGTTCAAGTCCCATCCACTGCCAGGTCCGCGTGGATTATTTGCAGTAAAACTTTTCTTTAGATTTAAACATCTAGCAGTTAAATGCTTATAATGTTAATTTCCAGGAATTCCAGGTATCTGGCCAGCCTATTTATATTCTATACCATATACTCACCTGTCGCAGGAGACGCTAGCGCCGCACACGCTGTAGGGACTGCCTCTATTTCATCCCATACCAATGCTTCCAACTCCTCGATGATGGCAGACCAGAAGGTAGCCACGTCCATGGCGGACGTCGATAGTGGGGTGCACGTACTGAGAGAAGGAAAGACAGAAGAATTATTACAATAAAAGTAAAAAATTCTTAAGTTTAATGCAGATCACTACCTTTATATCATCATTATCATCAGGCTATTAATGTCACTTAGACTGACGGACTAAGAGTGACGTCGTTTAGTAAATGGTTATATTGGGTAAGGAATCTAAAAGTGGTGTAGTTTCATGAAACCACAATACAAGTGACACTTTTGATCTTTCCAACTATCTGTAGGAAGTCCAAAGGGGAAGATCTTCCTCCGAGCTGGGTGATGGTAGCTCGGGGGCCGCGGCCCGACTGATGTTGGTCGGGCATCGTATATATGAAGAGTTAGCCTCCGAATTTCATTTGCGCGATGTAGGCTTCCATACTATTAAGATCGCAGTGCAGGTAACGCCATCTCTTGAGGATGGTGAGTAATGATTTCCTCCATCCGTTGTATATATGTGGGGCATATAGATGTCGCCGCCACATATGTTCATGCCGAGTCCCGGGTGTGGTAGGCAGAGAGAATAGAGTGCATCTTTGGCTTCATTCACATTCATTACACTTTTCATACACGCCCGCCGGTTTTTGAGGCTTCTGCCGTCACCTACTTTCAGAATGCCATCAATTTTATCGTGAGCGAGCGAGCTTTGGCCTTCTTCGGCTTTTACATACTTCCACTATCGCTTCGTATATCTGTTTCGTCATTCTGCCCTTAGCCATTCTTTCCACAAGTCTGAACCAACCGGGAAAGCCTCTGTCAATTATAACACCAATATTGTCATATTTTTTATGCATGTGTAACTGTTAGATGTTTAAATTTAAAGAAAATTTTACTGGAAAAAACTTCACGTTTGTATGGACTGTGGGTTACCTACAATGCGAAGAAATCGCGCTGCCTTGCAGCTTAAGAGAGGCTAGAGATAATTCTACACGGCCATCAGCATTCGTCCGGATAGCGAAGGGTGCGGTTTCGAGTCCCGTCTGCTGCCTGGTCCACCTGTATTTTTTTCTAGTATAATTTTCTTTACATTTTAACCAATATTGTCTTTCACATCGACTCTCTTTCTTACTTTCACATTACGAATGCGTTCTGCGAGAGTCACTTTGGAAATTTTTCTTAAAACTCGCATCTCGTCTGCGTTTAGCTTATTTTACTTTCATGCTCTTTCTGACATATCCGACTCTCGCTCCCATACATTAGTGTTGGGACCAGCACCGGGTGGTGTATAGCGAGCTATACCTTCTGCCTTTGGTTTTTACTGCCAAGAGGTTTTCCCAACGGTCCATTCACTCTATATCCTGCACCCACTCTTATCTTCATGTCAGCTGTGTACCTTCCATCCAAGATATACGGTTTCAATAATTGTTCCCCATTATGGGTTGACCCTTACATTATGAAACTTTTGAAATAATTATTAAAAAAAGTTCTTCCTCTACTGGGAATCGAAGTTTCTACCACTGAATCATCGATGCTGGTTGATAAAGCCTGCTTTTTAGGCATAACAGTTAAAAATGTAAAGCAACACGCTAAAAATTTGCGAAATAACATCTGTCGGTGCAATAAAAGTTACACTTGAAAAGTACTCACTTGAACACTTGTGACACCTGTCCGAGCCCCACGGATGTTGTAATAGCTGACTCTATTTCATCAGCAGCTTCTTTAAGATTCTGCACACACTGCTCGCTGCCTCTCACCCTCAGAACTTCAATCACCACCTCCAGAAACTCTGAGGAAGACCAGCAAAATCTATCAATTCTCATTAGACTATTAATGCCCCCACTGCTGGGGCAAAGGCCTTGCCTATGGACAGAATCACGTTCGAAGAAGAGTTGGTTAGTGTGTCCGCCTGAATAACGGTAACCGAAAATTCATTTTCTCTAGTAAACATTTTCCATGCATTCTCGACCATCACACCAAACATTAACTAACACCAGTTTTACGATGTGGATTTTTTTTCCCCACCATAACAGCATGGTACTAGTGTTACGGACAGGAATCCTGTCATACCAGCGCGAAGGTCGGGAATGCTTTCAAATTAGTATCTCCTTTGGAGTTATGCTGCCCTGGTACATCAATTTCATTCATAATAAACTCAAAAAGCATTCTGTTCTGATTAACTAATAAGTCGTTTTACAAACTTTAATTTAACTTGTAGTGTTCTGCCCTGCTTTCATCATTAAATTAATTCGCAACGGTAACAGTACCTGGCAGTTCTTCTCTTGCGTACAACGGTCCTCCATCAGATACCACCGCTTGCACCAAGTGAGGGTACGCGCGTCTACTCCAAGTCGCCAAGCTTCCACCCATAGAGCACCCAACCAGAACTACTTTGGCTGACCTGGGGAAATAAAATTCAACATTCAAAAATAATTCTTTCAGTTTAGGCCGTTACAAGCACTGGTGAAGGTCGGGAAGGGCCATATAGTACAGTCAATCTGTAGGTTGAGTGGTGAAAAAAAAACCTAAAGGGTAAGTCTTGTTTTTTCTGTTGCCAAATGACGTCAGTAAGCCACCTTGGCGATGGGCATGTTCAACTCGTAGGCGTTTTTTGAAAAACTCAAAAAAACCGTCAAAAATTTTTTGAAACGCATTTTTCTTGTTTTGTATGCATTTTAGAAACTTTGTTTTCGACCATAATTGTAGAGGGCGTTGAGTACTACAATTTATGACAGTGTTGCAATCTCGTACAACAAAAAATGCGCATTGTAGGTCTTCTAAAGTCTCAAAAAAAGGGTTTTTTCACTTTTTCATCCTGAAAATATCATTTTAATGGAAAACTTTAAATGGCTAAGTTGTATCGTACATAATTACCAACAACATTTGTATAAGCATTTTTTTTGTATTACTTACCGTTTTCAGGTTATAAATTGCGCAGGTATGAAAAATCCAGTAGAGCGGTTTTGGGCAGTTCAAGTACACATTAATTAGAAACTGGCAGAATTTATAAAAGTTATGATTTTATTTATTTTTTAAGCATTTAACTGCTAGATGTTTAAATCTAAAGAAAGGTTTACTAGAAAAAATCCACGCGGACCAGGCAGCGGACGGGACTCGAACCCGCATCCTTCGCTATCCGGGCGAAAGTTAAAAGTTAATAGAGTTTTATGAATGCGGGCATCAGTGCCGGTTAGTTCGACAGCGATGTTGCCTCCGCTTGCCCCATCACCTACCCTACCCCGTGGAGCCCTGGAACCTTACTCATCAACAGAAACACAACACTACCAAAATGTAGTGTCATTTTACTGTGCTCTGTAAGGTGTGGAGGTTACTCCTCCAGACAGGGCAAATGCTTTATGCCCTACCTCTCTTCATCATCATCATCAGCCTATTAATGACCCCACTGCTGGGGAACAGGCCTTCCCTATGGATGGAATAGGGAGATTGGGCCATGATCCACCACGCGGGCCCAGTGCGGATTGGCGGGTGCTTAACGTGCCTTCCGAAGCGCGGAGGAACTCGAGTTAGAAGATTTTTGGTCACGTATCCAATGACCGACCACTGCGAAAGTAGCTTAGCTTCAATGACCGCAGCCGAACGCGCTAACCATCTGCGCCATCGAGCTCCTCGTTAATAGCTTGCTTTTATTTGATGGGTATGAGTCAGTTTTTGTAACAGTAATATGGTACCTATCTAATGCCGCTTCCTATATACTAAATATAAAATTTATTGTAACTATAAATCTATATCCTAAATAATGTAATGGAAAGTGAAAGAGTATCTCTGAAGTCATTTTTCAACTTGATGACTCTGTTTATATCAATACAGGGAGAAAAAAGCAGCCCTTGCTGAGTTTCTTGCCGGTTCTTCTCAGTACAAGGTCTCCCGCCGTAGTTTTGCGAACCGATGGTGTAGCTTTTTGACCTTCACAAGTGCTTGTAACAGCCTAGACTGAATAAATGACTTTTCATTTCATTTCATTTCAGCTACCTTTCTTATTATTTTTAAATTCTGAAAATCCTGACCAGTTATTTGCAATTTTAGTGTCAGCTGCCGTCGTCGGCGGAAGCCGTCAATATCAATTGAATAACAAAAACGATACGTGCCTCGCAAAGTGACAATTATGTCTGCATTGTACATGCAATTGCTGACTCAGAGCTGAACCACCGTGGTATTATTAAATCGGTTGAGTGCATTGTCAAGATCATTATTGGTCAAGTCACAGGCAACGCATGACCTTCAAATTGAAGGGAACGCATGGACACTATCTTTTTTACTTAATATGGCACAACTAGACCATTTCAAAAATAGATATTTATGTCATGTACCGGTACCGGGAATGGTGAAGCGAAGAAATAACGTAGTGTTAGAGGAAGCCCTTTTGAAATGTTTTTGGCAAATGAAGTATATGCTCTAACTTGCGCTATCTATTTCGATCAGGCCAGCTATTTTCCCCGCCCACATGATTATTTTAAAAGTAAATGGCTAAAGAGTTTGTTAATAAGCTCATGATAAGATAATCTTATATATTACATGATGAATGAAATGGTGCTGCGGAAGGAAAGTTTTTGGAGTTTACTCCTTAAGAATCGATTTGCATATATAAGGGACCCGGTATGAGAAAAATGTGAGGAGTAAAATCTATCGATGAATGACATGAATGACCTCGTTACGTTTTTGTGCGCAACCTCATCTGCGCACCTTTCACTTTTAGCCATGGCAACGGATAAAAAACATTAAGTTGTCACATATGTCAATAAAACAAATAAACTAAAAATAGATAAAATTGAAGCAAAATTAATGAAAACAAATAAATAACAGAATATAGAGAAATGCCGGTAAGTGTCCAGCACTCTGGAATAGTGATTTTCAGTACAGATGAATACATATTATTATTTACAAAATGATGACTAATGTGTGATTTTGAAATTGTGTGTTTCCAGAAATACATAATAAAATATATGACGAATATCGCTGATGTTAGATGATAAAATGTGTGACATGGAACCTATGATAGTCGAAACCATGGGACGATTCCTGAGGTATCTCTACTTGTAACCGACTTCTTTGGACTTGATTTTGTTTTGTGTCTGTTCAAAGACAATCGTTTTTAGAGTGTAAACTCCGGTCGTGCGTCGGAGCTGACACACACAATTTTTTTTGTTCTTTTATTACCATGTAATGCAGCGCTTTCACTCAGAGCTCAGAACGGGGTCTGAGCTCGGTCAATGGAATACTCAAAACAATTTAAGCATTCGTTATCTGATTCAAGTTTAACAGCGTTGTATAAATTCGTTCTCTCGATGTTTTCCCTGCTTGCCAAAACGAGGAAGAACACTAGTACCTTAAAAAAAAAACTTACCCGTATCTTCCCTGTTCGAAGTCGTCACTCTTGATATATCGTATGAACTGCGCCAGATCACCCAACGACTGGTCCACCGTCAGGAGTCGAAGGTTGGACACCGATGTACTGGAAACACGTACATATGTTCAAATTAAGAGGAGTTATTAAAGGCACATAAAGAACGCAGCAAAAGTTTCACTACATTAGCTTTTATTTCATCATCATCATCATCATCATCATCGACCCATGCTCGTCCACTGCTGGACATAGGTCTCCCCTAATGCACGCCACTGCTCCCGATTTTCTGCCACTCTCATCCAGCTCACGCCAGCCAGCCTACGAATGTCATCATCCCATCTTGTCTCAGGGCGTCCCACACTACGTTTACCGAGTCGCGGTCTCCACTCAAGAACTTTCCGGCTCCAACGGCCGTCAGTTCTGCGGCTAATGTGACCAGCCCACTGCCACTTCAGTTTGCTAATTCGGTGGACTATGTCGGTGACTCTGGTTCTCTGTCGGATTACATCATTTCTGATGCGGTCCTTCAGGGATACTCCGAGCATAGCCCTTTCCATAGCTCTCTGAGCGACTTTAAACTGGTGGACCAGTCCAGCCGTGAGTGTCCACGTCTCGGCGCCGTATGTCATAACTGGGCTGGCTTTTATTTATTCTTTATTTATTTAGGAGCTTCGATCGACATATTTGATCATGCCAGCTCCATCTTAGTCCAATCTTATTTACTAAGTCAACTTAATAGTAGAAATAGCAATATGGATAATAATTTTAGCGGCCTCTGAAGGTGGCTCAGCTTAGAAATTGAGGTGTCATTACACAGCGTCTAACCACAAAACAGCAGAAAGTTCTATGGTCTGTGCTTCAAATCCTCTACTTTTTAGAAAACAAAGGGGTCAGCCAAAACCCGAAAAGTTAAATGACACGATAGTTTTATTTAAACCACAGATTGAATTACCGTGATAGATTAAACATCACCTTATATGTCCACATTGCCGAAGTAGGTTTATTTTTATAAATAGCTCATATTAATGACTCCGCGCCACCTGATGTTAAGTGACGGTGAAGTCCAGACGCGAAGATAGCTGGTACAGCAGTTCTACCTGCCACACCAGCCATCCTCACCTTGCCGGCCTGCTTATTGCTTCGTCACGCCTCCTCGGACCAAGGACGCAAAGTAGTCGTATACTACATAGAGCCTACCCTATTGACAGAATAGGGAGACTGGGTCATGACCTAATACGTGTGCCCAATGCAGATTGGTCTATGGCAACAGCTATTGATGTAGCCAGTACTAACTTCAAAATCAATGTTAATCTCTTATCTATTAGACAAGTCCGTCCGTCCGTCCGTCTGTCTGTGGTGCTGTTTCAGCGGCCAAACCGTAAGAGATAGATAAAGAGAATATTTAAGTTATAAGTTAAGAATACTCTGATAAGACTACAAACCGGATTTGAGTAACGTAGCACTTCCGGTTTTCGAGAAATCAGGTTTTGGTGAACATTTGCTTCACTGGTTTGCTAGTATATGTTAATATGACAAAAATGTTTGTGTTAAAGTTGACAAATGCTTTTTTGACAAATAAAATAACGATAAAATGTTTTTAAAACACACATTTATTTAAATATATCCATAATAATTCCAATTCCGACGACGCAAAATTTTTCAATTCTTGTTCTGAGTTCAAGTGCTCATCACATCATGCAGTCTGAATTGTACATTAATGCAGTTAGCTGCGTTTGCGCATCAGTCAGAGGTTAAATGAGCGATGGCCGGGTGACCTTGCTCCGTTACGAAGACACGTGGATCAACCAAGGAAATTATTGTATCAAATAAAGAATTTGTATTTGTATTTAGGGACACGATGTCGAATAGAAAGTATCGATACTGTACTCATGAGTAGTATCGGAAAAAAAGTATCGTACTCGTAAAAGTATTGAAACAAAAGTATCGATACTTCAAAGTATCGAGTACATTTCATAGGACCTTATAAGCAATGTAGATACTCTTAAAAACGTGTAATGTTAATATAATCAACTGCAAAACTAAACGTGAATTACTCAAGTATGTAAGTCTCAGGACACACTAGATTGCTTCTGCTTCCAATTATATCAACGCAATCGAATGTTTTAGAAGGTTTGCTATGATTCCACTAGATGGCGTTGCCATCAATATAAGGCGCTTATCCAAATTTTTAAAGGTATCGATACTTTTTTAGTTTAGTTATTTAGTTGAAGTATCGAAAACCAAGTATCGAGTACAAAAGTATCGGTATCGAAAGGAAAAGTACTCGATACCACAAAGTATCGATACTTTTTTCGTGTCCCTATTTGTATTTGTTAGAGTAAACTAAAAAGCTCTTTTAAATTATGCATGTTTTTGCTTAAATATCAACTGTTGGATTTTTTAATGATAAGATGTCTTCTTATTCGCTGGCCATATAAAATGTAGTGTAAATAAAAATTGTCTCGTCTACAACCCAAACATCGATGAATAACGAAACTCTCAGATTAAGTGCTATAAAAGTCCAATTTCGTTTTTGTAATTACTATCATTACACGTATACAAACGATATTCCCCACTGTAACACGCGAAAATAGGCTCTGAGACGTTCAAATTAAAACAATTCTTGAGTGCAAACGTAACATTGTAATTAAATCTTCAGTATGCAATAAGGGTCTGGCTGGATTGTAATATATTTTTTTTGCTAATTCGAGGAATATTTGTCGAATTCCACCTATATATATATATATATATATATATATAGGTAAACGTAGAATTAGAAATTCTTTTGTGTTAACGCCCGAGGGATTCTCTCGTTAATTGGATTGTAACTGCGTTGTTTAATTGTAATAACGGACCTTGTTAATTTAAATCTGATGTCATAACTATAACCTACAATAATGCATAAATAAATGATAAATTTCAAGTGAATATTAGGTACTAGAAAAAATTCCACGCGTACCAGGCAGCAGACGGGACTCGAAGCCGCACCCTTCGCTATCCAGGCGAATGCGTGGAATTTTTTCAAAACATCGAGCAGTTACATACTTAATAAAATAAAAAATATATTAAATTTCAGTTTCTCTTATGTTAAAAATGTGGCTAACAAGGATATGACCCACCCATGGGCACCGGGAAGCGGGTGGGTAATAGGGTATTTGACAAGTTTTAGAAAACGATTTCACGTTATTTACTAATGTTTATAGAGTCCATAAAAAATGGATTTTCATCATTATGTTGTGTATTTCGGTAAAAAATCAAATCAAAGACTCTATTTTCAAGCTGCCGCGAAAATCAATCTCTGGACAATATGGCGTCTCACTGGCGTGTGACGTCACACGACTGTCATTAAAACGTCAAACCATACAATCAAATGTCACTTTAACCGGAAGTTTACTTGCGTGTGACGTCATTTTAGGCTCCACCAATCCCAAGCGTTTTGGGTCACGTGAATAGACAAGAAAACTAATATCTTTATCGTGGGGTTTAAGTAAAATTATGAATACTTTTTCTGTAAAAATAGTAAAAACTCCAGCCAATATGCATTCTAAATACAGATGCTAACAATTGGCACTTTTTTTTAATACTGTCAAATACCCTATTGCACCCCACTGTCAGAAAACACGTTTTCGTATTTAATTAGTTTTTAAATTCTCCATCATCATCATCACCAACCTATTAATGTCCCTGTAAATATAAATGTTGTGATGGAATAAGGAGATCGGGCCATGACCCACCACGCGGGCCCAGTGCGGATTGGTAGGCTAACGACTGCAGATGCAGCCGGGACCAACAGCTTAACGTGCCTTCCGAAGCACGGAGGAGCTCAAGATAGTTAATGTTTTACGAACCATTAAAGCGACCTTGCCAGAATACCAGCGCCGACATCGTGCAGGAAGTATTTTCTTTCGTCACTATGTCAACTTATTTATTTATTTATTTGATATACCATCGACAAAATCGCAAATAACAATAAAGATTAAAGATGCAGGTAGTACTCAACCGTGTGAATTGCCATTGCAGGCATGTACAACATTGACTATATGTAGATAGGTACTTATATTTTTAACAGTAACAAATTACTGTTCGGTTTGAAGGCTTTGAGTGGAGAATGAAAGATGTCAACATCATGGCATATCTCGTTGTATGCATATTTAATGAGGGTGTTTATGAAAATTTACGTCACCAGTTGGCGCCACTGTGTCGTAAGGTCTTTTGTATGAAGTTTTTAACGCCAACTCCATAGACCAGATTCATAGACTATGAGATCATATGCGATTTGACGGATGATTAGACCTTTCGTCTCAGTACTGCCACCTGGTCATTCCAAAAAACCCTCATTCTGTTAAACGGTGAAGCTAATTTTGTTTTAAAGGGACAGTTAACGAATGATTTGATGGGTTGGCAGGGGATTTTTCTGAGAACCTTTAACTTAATTTCCGCAAGAAGGTCTTGCGCAACAATATTGCCGTGAAGTAATTTGTGCAGAAATAAAATGTCCGCGGTTATGCTGAGGCAGGCTCCCGGTTGGCCGTCTATGGATGAATAAGTACTTTTATTTTCGTCATATGCTATTGTTATGATGGCCAATGAAGAATTTTTAATTTCATTTCATTTCAAGTACCTTTAATGCAAGACACAGAGATAATAAATAAATAAATATTTCCAACACTCGCACCAATTAACCTAGCCCCAAAGTAAGCACTGTAAGGCTTGTGTTATGGGATACTAGGGTAACGGATAGAATACATATACAGTACATATATAAGTATATTTATATAGAAACATATATTAAACATCCATGACTGGAGTACAAATGCTCGTATTCATCACACAAACATCTGCCCCCAGCGGGATTCGAACCCGGGACCTCTTGAGTCGGCGATACCATGAAACCCGGCGTACAAACCACTCGACCACGGAGGTCGTCACAAGATGTTCGAATTGACGGGAATTTTCGGGACTCAAACTATGTCTTTACTAAATTTCACCTACGTCGGGTTCAGCGGTCAAATCGCGAAGAGGTAATAGACAAATAGAAAGACAGACACACTTTCGCATTTATGTTGATGTAGTGCAGATGCACCTTCCTGAAAATATTCCTACCGGCG